TTTATCGTAGCATTGTTCACAGTAGCAAGAACATGGAACCAACCGTGCTGCCCATCAAAAGAGGACTGGATAAAAAAAAAATGGTACATATACAGGATGGAATATTATGCAGCCATAAAGAAGCACAAAATCATGAACTTTGAAGCAACCTGGATGGATTTAGTGTCTATAACACTGAGTGAACTTTCACAGAAACAAAGAACTGAGTATCACATGATCTCACTCATAAGTGGACCTTGAACAATTATTGTAATACTCTAAGAAAAGGATTGACAGTGGCGGGAAACTGCCGGGAGAGGGATAAGAAAGTGGGATTAGCAGTAGTGGGAATCTGCCTGGGGAAGGCAGGGAGGCATACCTCATCAACGAGGGTACCTGCATAATGAACATTTGTATACCTAACCCTGAATTGTACCCCACATCTTTAAAATTAAAAATAATCATAATTTTTTTTTAATGAGGGTTGTGTTTACAATGGATTCAGCCTCCTGATTCTGAAGACAGCTAAGGGAGAGCAATCACCTTAGGAGCAGGAGGCTGGGAGCCTCATCCAGAGGGTGAGACATGGGACAGCTGCTCCCTCCAGAATTCTCTAAAAGAACCATGGTTTCCCTGAGCACAGAGATGCTCTGGCAGAGAGACCTGTTGGCAGGCAGGCTGGAAACCCCAGGAGAGGCCCCTGGAGCTCTCCCTAACTTCGCTACTCCAGCCTGAACTTCAGGGGAGTGTGAGGATTTCTGGAAGGGCAGACTCATCCACAGAGTATACACGCAGGCTAAACCCCACTAGGCAAGCCCTGGGGCACTGGTCACGTTCTGTGCTCACTATACCAAGTTCTGTTGGGCCACATGTTCTTTACTCTTTCCCCGCATCAAAATGAATCGATCAGCTAATTTTTTTTTTTTTTTTTTGAGTTGGAGTCTCACTCTGTCACCCAGACTGGAGTGCAGTGGCCGCTCCCAGCCACCGCAGCCTCAACCTGCTGGGCTCCAGCAATCCTTCCGCCTCAGCCTTCCAAGTAGCTGAAACTACAGGTGTGTGCTACCACGCCCGGGTGATTTTTGATTGATTGTAGAGATGAGGTCTCGCCAAGTTGCCCAGGCGGGTCTCGAACCCACGGGCTCAGGCAATCCACTCACCTCAGCCTCCCAAGGCACGGGATTACAGACTGAGCCACCGAACCCAGCTGATCAGCTAATATTAACTGAGTGCTCACCATGTGCCTAATCCCGAAAATCCTTGACTGATCCTGGTGAGATTCAAATACCTATAGATGTGAAAGGTCTCTCATGATGTAAACCATTATGCAGACAGCTTAACTTGTAAAGTCCTGCACACCAGATAGGATTTGTTCTTTTTTATTTAGCAGCTGTTTCTCTCTGTCTTCTGTATGGCACAACTCCTGCCATAACCCTTGATGGTTTCAATGTCCACAAAGATGACCCTTCTAATACTCTTGGCCTCTTCATGACTACACTTCCTCTCTCTAGTGACTTTTCTGAGTTGGAGTCTCTGTCACCCAGGCTGCAGTGCAGGGGCACAATCATGGCTTACTATAGCCTCAACCTCTTAAGTGCAGGTAATCCTTCCAACTCAGTCCCCAGTAGCTAAGACTATAGGTGCATGCCACCACACCTAGATAATTTTTGTTTTTTTTGTAGAGACAAGTTCTCACTATGTTGCCCAGGCTGGTCTCAAACTCTGGGACTCAAGCAATGCTCTTGCCTCGGCCTCCCAAAGTGCTGGGATTACAGGCGTGAGCCACCGTGCCTGGCCTTCCTAGTGAGACAGCAGCTGCTGTCTCATGGCCATAGCTCAGGTCTGTCATTACCAGGAACTGGGCCCCTCAATCTCCATTTCACCTCCCTGATCTGCATGCATGCCCCCCGCCATGTGTCAACATAATTCTTGTATCTCAATCTCAGCAGGGGCCCACAATCCAGATCGTTGTAGCAGCTCTGGACAACCTTCCAGCTCCTCTGTGTGCTACTTTCCCTCCTTACACGGTGTGGACTCCACGGACCACGACTTTAATGGTTCCCTTTCATCTTCCCTCTACTCCCTTCAACTTGTTACCCTTCTTTATTCCGGGATGGCAAAGTCCCACCCAGGTAAACCATCCCTCCTGCACCCACATGCCTGCTCCTGATGAGAAAAAAACCATAGCCAACGTGTCTGATGACAGGCAAATTTAAAATCTGGGTAGATGGTGGCTCAGCCTGTCATCCCAGCACTTTGGGAGGCCGAGGTGAGTGAACTGTCTGAGCCCGCAGGTTCCAGACCAGCCCTGGCAACTTGGCGAGACCTCATCTCTACAATAAATTAAAAAATTAACTGGGGATGGTAGCGCACGGCTGTAATTCCAACTACTCGGAAGGTTGAGGTGGAAGGATCGCTGGAGCCCAGCAGGTCGATGATGGAGTGGCCGTGAGTGTGCCACGGCACTCCAGCCTGGGCGATGGGGTGAGACTCTAACTTATAAAGAAAAATCTGGATAGAAATAAAATTGTCACTGGAAATCACCCAACACCATTGGAAAGTGTTTGTTATAAAATAACAATGAAGATTGCAAAGCCTGGGAAAGGAAACGGAAATCTGGATGAAATATGCCAGCCGGATAAGCAGAGATGTGCAAGTACAGGGAGTGGCGGAATCTTGTTTAAAAGAGCAGGAAATGTGGGGTACAATTCAGGGTTAGGTATATACGTGGTCATCGTACAGGTGAAGTGTGGGTACCCTTATTGATGTTATGTGCCCCCACTTCCCCTGGCAGGGCCCCACTACTGCCAATCCCTTTCTTGTAGTATTATGATAAAAGTAAAAATAAGAAAAGCAGGAAATGCTGGATCACACACCTTTGCAACAGATGTATTGTGATTCTCTTAACCTCCAAAATAGTTCAACATAGTGGAATAGTTCAACATAATGGAATAATTTCTAGAATAACAGAAGGGGCTTGGAAGGGAGCATAACATTTATCTATTCCACTCCCAAACCTGGCTGCATAGACAGTTGCTCTGCAGGCTTCCAAAAGCTACCGAGTCCTGGGCTCCAGCCCAAACCTTTTAAGGGAGATGATCGTGGGTTGAGGCCTGAGATATTCGGTAATTTTTTTTTTTTTGAGTTGGAGTCTCACTCTATTGTCCCAGCTGGAAGGTAGTGGCACCCCAACGTCGACCTGCTGTGCTCCGGCGATCCCTCCCCCTCAGCCTTTCAAGTAGCTGGAACTACAGGCGTGTGCTACCTACCACCCCTGGCTAATTTTTAAATTTTATTGTAGAGTTGAGGTTTCGTTACGTTGTCTGGGCTGGTCTCGAACCCACGGGCTCAGACAATCCACTCGCCTCGGCCTCCCAAAGTGCCAGGATGATAGGCTGAGACACAGAGCCAGGCCATATTTTAAAGTGCTAGGATGACAGGCTGAGCCACAGAGCCAGGCCATTCTTATGCAGCCAGCGTGGCATTAACCCTTTAGTCCAGGAGGGAAACTTGGGCAGCTCTGCTTTCATCTAGCTGCTAGCCCTGTGCTGGGGCGTGTGCAGTGGCTCAGTCAGGTGGAGCAGCTGCCTGTGCTTGACCAGCCCGGGGATGGGGAGCTCTTAGCCTAGAAACAAGTTTATTTAAAAAAAAAACAATGCCCTTCACCCTTGTCTACTTTTCTATCTGGGAACACAGACCACCAGAGTTTTAAGAGTTATTAGGGGCCGGGCTCAGTGGCTCAGCCTGTAATCCAGCACTTTGGGAGGTGGAGGCGAGTAGATTGCCTGAGCCCATGGATTCAAGACCAGCCCGGGCAACTTGGTGAGACCTCGTCTCTACAATAAATCAAAAATTAGCCGGGCGTGGTGGTGTGTACCTATAATTCCGGCTACTTAGAAGGCTGAGGCAGAAGAGCTCCTGAGCCCAGGCGGGTTGACGCTGGGGTGGCTGTGAGCGTGCCACTGCACTCCAGACTCAAAAAAAGAAAAGTTATTAGGGAGCCCAACTTCCAGATGAGAAAACTGAAGCCAAAGAGGATTTGTTCCTTCCTACAAAGTGTATAGTTGGTTAGGTCAGCACTGGGACTGAGCTCTAGGTTAAAGGCTCCAGGACTTGCCCTCCCTCAAAACTCTTACAACAGTTACAAAAATAAATAAATAAATAAACAAGTTGATTTGACTCTAACAAGGGAGGAAAGAATAGGCCAACCAAAGGAAAAAACCCCAAAGCAACTGTGTTCCTGTCAGATCAGGCCACAATAGCTTGTTTCCACATGGGAAGGAAGGTGAGGAGAGGCAGGCGCTCTTGCCTGTGGGGAGTTTTTACAAGAAAGACCAAAAGCTTCTCCTTTGAGGGAGCTATTTAGAGTAAGGCACGACCTCCCCTGGGCTGGTGCAGCCCCCAGGCAGGGCATATGGCTTGGAGAGAGGACAGCATGCTGATTTCACCCCTACCCAGGGTCACCAACCTTCCTGGCTGGCCTGAGCCTGAGAGGTTTCCCAGGATGTGAGATTTTTCTCTGCAAAAGCCAAGAAAGTCCCTGGCAAGTCAGACTGGCGGATCACTCTACCTCCTCTCCCCCCGCAGTTCCTTCCCCAGCTGTCCTCCTGCAGGGCACAGCCGCGTGGGCACAGGAGGGTGACACTCCCTAGATGGAACATCACCAGGAATTTACACTTCATAGCGATCACAGCTTCCTCTGCCAGGCTGACATCACGGAAGGCTGTTCCAGGTGACAGCATTCAGTGCCAAAGCATAGAGCGCTCACCTTCCCCCTTGCCGTAGGAGGAGCTGGCGGTCCAGGACTTGGCTTCCACGTAGCCCAGCTCCCGGCAGACGACGTGGGCGGCGTGGATGGAGAAGTCGTCGTCGCACACGGTGCCCCACTGGCCATCGTAGTATACCTCCACCCGGCCCTCGCTGTGCTTCCTCTTCTGCCCGGCCAGGCGCAGCTGGATCTTGGCCACGTCGGGGGGCGGCTGGGGCCGGTGGTACTCGGGGGCCGGTTGCTGGAAGTACTCGGGGTAGTAGGGCCAGCTCTCGTACTGCGCCAGGCTCAGGGGAGGCAGAAGGACCAGCAGAGCCAGGCAGCCGCAGAGACAGGAGCCTAGAGCCCTCTCCATCTCCATCCTCGGGCTGAGGGTTCCACGAAGGAGACCTGGGCAGTTAGAAGGAGCAGGCGGGTGTAGGAGCAGTAGGGGCTTCCTAGAAGGAAGAAGAGGTGGGTTAGGATGGGAATGTAGGGCCAGGGACACCTACAAAATGCCCAGTGATTTCTTTTGTTTGGGAGGGTCAGGGTCTTGCTGCCACCCAGGCTGGAGTACAGTGGCACCATCGTGGCTCACAGCAGTCTCAACCTCCTGGGCGCAGGTGATCCTTCCGCCTCAGCCTCCCGAGTAGCTGGAACTACAGGCATGTGCCACCACACCCCAGCTCATTTTTTGTAGAGATGAAGTCTCCCTGTGTTGCCCAGGCTGGTCTCGAATTCCTGGGCTCAAGTGATCCTCTTGCCTCGGCCTCCCAAAGTGCTGGGATTACAGGCATGAGCCACCAAGTCCAGCCCAGTGACTTCACACCCTTTGGCTTAATATGGAAAACACTTCCATCCTCAATACCAACCCGGCTCCATTCCCAACTCAGGTTTCTGCCACGCAGGGCTAAGAGTTCCCACCTCCTCTGCCCACCGCCTTTCCAGATCTCTGGAATGCTTTTTCCAGTAGGGTTCCTGGCAGGGAACAATGCACACTCAAACTTAATTTGAGAAGTTTTTAAAAAAGACTATGACCCGGAAGAACATAGATTGTTCTACAAAAAAGATACCTACACATGCATGTTTATAGCTGTACTGTTCACAAGAGCAAAAATCATGGAACCAACTCTACTGCCCGTTGAAAGTAGACTGGATAAAGAAAATGTGGTACATACACACAATGGAGTATTACAAAGTCATAAAGAAGAACAAAATCACGGACTTAGCAGCAAATTGGATGGGGTTGGAGACCATCATACAGAAACAAAGAACTGAATACCACGTTCTCATTCATAAATGGGACCTGAACGTTAATCACATGAGCACAAGGGAGGGATCGGCAGTCCATGGACACAGCTGGGGTGTGGGGACACATAACAACACAAAGGGTACCTGGTCCCAAACCGGGGGATATGAGGGCTACTTGGAGGCCCAAACCTCACCTGTGTGCAGCCTACTTGTGTAGTTAATCCTGACTTGTAGCCTACATCTCCATAATACAATTTTTAAAAACTATAAAAAAGACTGGAGATGTGGGCTGCGTTCAGGGGTGTCGTGCCTCAGGATTGTCCACAGAGGGGTCCTGTGTTTAGCAGCAACCTCAGAGAACAGGCCTGAGGCCTTTAACTCACCCTCAGAGAAGCCGAGGACACCCTGGTGACAATTACCTTCCTTCTCATTGTATTTGTCCCTGAGGGGTGCAGGGAGCTGAGACCAGGCTGCTCTTGTCTCAGGGAGGCATTAAGCTCTTTGTGGCAAACAGGAGAGGTGCTCAGCCTTAGTCTCAGTGCTCAAGGGGCTGTCATTAGGCCAGGAAGCCAGGTCTACAGGGGAAGAACATAGATGCTACTGCCAGACAGTTTGAGTTTGATTCTCATTCTGACACCAGCTGTGCCACCTTGGGCAAAATACTTAACTTCTCTGTGCTTCTGTTTTCGCATGTATAAAATGGGGATAATAATCATATCCAGCTCCTAGAGTTATCATGAAGATGAAAGGAGTGGCGTCTAATAAACACCATTAAAAAAATGAATTTTTTTTTGAGTTGGAGTCTCACTCTGTCGCCCAGGCTCGAGTGCAGTGGCACACTCACGGCCACCCCTGCTTCGACCTACTGGGCTCCGGTGATCCTTCCACCTCCGCCTTCCAAGAAGCCAGAGCTATAGGCATGAGCTACCACACCCGGCTAATTTTTTATTTATTGTAGAGACAAAATCTCACCAAGTTGCCCATGTTGGTCTCAAACCTGTGGGCTCAGGTAATCCACTCGCTTCGGCCTCCCAAAGTGCTGGGATGACAGGCTGAGCTACCGAGCCTGGCCAATTTTTAAAGCCTTAAGATTGTGGTCGCCAAACCTGGTGGAGCCCACCTTCAAGAATTCCAGAGTGAGGTCATATAGCAAGAGACCTCGTATACCTTGGCCTCTCATAATTCAGAGAGAGGGAGGCTATCTTATAAGGACTGCAGATGGGCCTCATGGAGGAAGAAGTAGGTTGGGATGTGGGTCCCCAAAAGGCAAAACCAGGACAAGTAGGTGGAAACCTGAGGGGAGCAGAAGTTGCTTTATTTTAACCCCGTGCGTGGGAGTAGGCGAATCATATTTCTCAGGTCATGGCACACTACCATCAAGGGGTAACTGGATGACTTTCCCACAGTCAGAGCCACCCATGGAGAAATGATCTGTGTGCAGAGGCAGTTCCAAGTCTGTTGGGTGGTCAGCAGTGCTCAGTGCCCCAGGGTGGACGCTGGGGTCGGCAGGTCAACGCATGGGGGACCGTCAGCACCCAGGACTTTGGAAAGAGCCAGCCATCCTCATCCTGTGACTCATAAACATGGTCAGAGAGTGGCGGGGGTTCCCGTGACAGCTCCCTTCAGACTACAGCCTGACCACCTAGTATCGTGGCTCTGGAGGGAATTGGTATCCTGGCAGCACTACATTTGCATCCACAAATTTGTCTGTGTCTCACAAGAGCCTGGGGGAGGAGAGGAGGCAGGTATTATCAGGATTCTTATTTCACAAGGGAGAAAACCAACAAGCAGAGGGTTAGAGACTTTGCCAGAGTTGCACAGTTAGTGAGAGAAAGCCAGAACGGGTCACTCCTGAGCTACCATCGCAAAGAAAAAACACCCGGGTTCAGTCTGGGATACAAAAACCTCTACAATGTGGCACACACCCACCTTCCCAGCTTCAGTTTCCATGACATGTGTCTCCTTCTCCCGCTCCAGCCCTTCCCATGGCATACGTCCCCTCACATCAGCTTCAGTTTTGTCACCAATGGCGATGCACCTCCATCCCCTCCCCTCCTAAGTGGCATCTGTCACAGTCCTTCCCATTCTTCAGAGACCATTCCAGGTCTTCCTAATCACATTGAATGTCTTTCCGATTCCCTTTCCAATGGTGTTTTGCTTGTGCCTTACGCTGTTGTCACGTCTGGCCACCAGACCCTCAACCCCAAGGGACAGAAACCATCTCTTGTCATTTCTGCACAGGAACATACCTGTGTCTGGCTATGGTGGATTAGCTTGTATTAGATGACACTTCCTGCCAAGAACAACTAGAAAAGGCAGATAAAATATGAAAAACATATTTGAGGACATGGGAAAACTCCTGAGGCAGCAAGGACTCAAGAAGCCAAGAATCCAGAGAGATGGGAAGGGGATGGGGGAAGGGGGTTGCTCATATTCGTCTCTGTTTTTTCTCCCAAAAGGCACTTGCCAATTTCATGACAGTGACCAGTCAACAGGCTGAAAAGCTAAGCAAAGCTTCAGGCAGCTTCCAAGGACTGAGGAGACAAAAATTGGAGTTCAGAGCCTGCCAAGGACAAAGGGGTCTGTTAAAACAGCCACGGGCCTTCAGATGGGTCCCCGAAGGGCTACACTCCAGAAGTTAGGGCCTAGAGTTGTTAGAAAGGTCTAACATCCACACAGCTGGAATCCCAAAGAGCAGGAGAGAAAGAATATGCAGAAGAAATATCTGAAGAAATAATGGCCAAGAATTTCCCAGAACTGACCAAAAATATCAAGCCCAAGCAGTAGAGTTTATATAGAAAACCACATCTGGACACATCAAAATTCAACTGTGGAGAATCCAAGACAAAGAGAAAATCTTAAAGGCAGCCAGAGTGTAAAAGGTATGTTACCTTAGAAAGAAAAACAGCCTAACAGCTGGCCTCTCCACAAACATAAACAGACGAGATGATGGCATTTTCAAGGATGAAAAAAATAGCAGTCAACCTAGGATCTGTACCCACTGAAGAGAATGGGGGTGAGATAAGGACAGTTCAGACAAACAAAAGTGGAGAGAATTTGTCACCAGAAGACCCACAGGATGGAAACACTAACGGGAGTTCTTCAGACTTAAGGAAAAATAATCCTAGCTGTAAGGATGGAGGTGTAGGAAGGAAGGAAGAATATGAAACAGAAAGCTATGTAGGTAAATCTAAATGAAGGTCAACTGTGTGTAAGCTGAAAATAACTGACGTAACGGATTCCCTCTTGGACAAGAAGACACCAGAAAAATCTTTAAAGATCGGAATTCCCATCATGGCCGGAAATGCCAAGGGAGGTCGGAAATGCCTTGTTCTACCCCCTCCTTTTTGGAGTTAGGCACAAGTGACCAGCATAAATGTGAAAATCATAAGACTGACAAAAATGGACTCGCTGTGACAACAAGATACCAAATTATAAATAGGACCGAAGGCCATGACAGTTAAGGGTTAAGTCACACACCCCCTCACAGGTCACTCTGACCCATTGTGTTGGTTAACAGACTTCCTTATCTTAACTTAAACAGTCTCCTTCGTTCCCTTCTGTGGATTCCAAATTTTCAGACAAAGCTTTACTTCTCTAACCAACTGCAAGTTAAAAGAATCTCTCAATCCACGTCTAACCTGTAAGCTCCACTTCAAGAGAGCCTGTCCTTTTTGAGCTGAATCAAGGTGGGCCTTCCACGTATTGATTGCTGTTTTTGCCTGCAACTCCCATCTTCCGGAAATGTACAGAACAAAACTATAACCCGACCACCTCGGGCACACTTTTTCAGGATCTCTTGAAACTGTGTTCCCTGGGCCGTGGTCACTCATATTGGCTCAGAATAAACCTCTTTAAATCACAGAGACAAAGATCTGAGTATCACATGTTCTCACTCATAGAGTGGACCTTGAACATCTATCGTAATACTATAAGAAAAGGATTGACAGTGGTGGGAAACTATGTGGGGGAGGAGAAGGGAGGTCAAATTAACGATAGTCAATATCTGTCTGGGGATGGGGAGACACCCCTTATCAACAAGGGTGCATGAACGATGCATATTTGTATACCTAACCCTTAACTGTACCCCACAATTTTAAAATAAAAAATATTGATTAAAAAAAAAAGAAATACAAATGGGGACCCCCAAATCCAGAATTTAAAAAAATATATATCTATCTTACAGAATTTGGTTTTTCTATGAGC